AGAATTACAGCATCACAATCACATCGTGTATAATGATGTGATTGTGATGCTGTAATTCTGAGTGTTTTATGTGCTGCAGAACAGGAACCTGCTGTAAAACAGCAATTATGCTGAGTCAGGCTTGATTTTGAATAATCCTTTCCTGTTAAATAAATGAATCAAATCAAATCAAAACATCTGAAGACTTGTCCATCCAGCCTTACTGTACAAGTTGGAGCCAGAGGAGACTGAAGATGATGAAATTGTAGTTGGTAAGTCCAAACCTTATTTGGAAGTTCCGTCACAAATTCTGTGACATGATRGTTCAGAAAAGGTCATGACCCAAACAGAATATGAAGATATCTATGCAGAATTGGGAGACTATATTTTTCTGCACTCCTAGAGACTCCAATACAACAAAATGTACTTAATGGCTAAAAAAAAATGGAACGATATGTCCCCTTTAAAAGTTCTTTGATTYACATATTCAGATGTCACCAGCACACGCTTCAGCAGGATGATGGTGCAAAGACAGAAGCTGTAAACTGGGAGAAAATTCAACTCCAGCTGTGATGCAAGGGACAAACAGGAGTCAGTGAGTAATCGGACCTACTATAGATTCTTCAAACTACTTGCAAATTCATGTATTTTTTAATGTGGTGCACCTCTAACTCCCCGCCTGAAGTATGTATATACTTCTTTTTTTCTTTTTTCAAAAATAGTCTTACTATTCTTTTGAACCGTATCTCTTTTCTCCCTCTTCCTTCTGGAAAAGTACAATTACATGCTATTAGACTCCAGCGAGGTGCTGAAAAGCCTGAAGGTTTTCTTCAATATCTGTCTTTTTTTCTGTTTTTGTCTCCGCAGCGAGTGCTGGAAGATTGATTTCTTAGATCCACTATCACCTGTGGTGCGGTAGGCAGAGAAATAATTGCTTATTTTGTAACTGCGCGCACCTTAATAAAAGGGCTTCAGCACTTCAACTCCTATGGAGATACAGTTAGTGAACTCAAGCCAGAAGATAGTTTATAGAAGCTTTTATTTCTACACAAGCCYGGCTTTAATTGGGCTGAAAGAATTGCTGATGATTACTCTGTTGTTCATTAGTTTATTAACCATTGAGCCATAAAATTAGGTTGAAGGTGAGGACTATTCTTTTTTTTTCTTTTGGTTTGCGAAGATAAAAGCTATTTTGTTTCTGAAGTCCAACAATGCTGCTCATAATTTACTGTTGGACACAAGAGAAGCCAAGTTATTCCACCAGCATCTTTATGCACTCGTGGGAAAGTTTGTTTTTTAATTGTTTGACTTTGCAGTGGTGTGGGAGGTAGTTTTTTTTTTTACTCCAAGTCAAAGAGAAAATGTTTTCATTTACGAGACACCAAGGAAAACCTAATCAGATTACTGTTTTATATAGTTGTGTTCGTTTTGGCATGAATATTTTAAGCAAACAAAAGCATATGCGTAATGTTGAACTTTAGTGCTCGAGTCCATTTCCTGTGTGGAAAAAAGAAAACGATTTTCTGCACAATCTCCAAGTAATACTGCAGTACCTTTACTGTATATTTGGTCAAATTAGGTTATCTATTATCCATTTTAAAAGGTCATTTTTTTAAGCATTCACAAAGGCCACAATAAAGCCAATATGCTGCTTAGGATAAGAGTTTTTGCAGCAGATTGGGGTGTTGCCAGAGGTGCAATRTGCATAAAAGATGAAGCGTTTTTATTCTTCTCTGATCTTGTGTGTATTTCCGCACCGCGGTGGGTTGAGATCCCAGGATGCAGTGTTGCCTCCCAGCTGCAGGCAGGTGCAGGGTGTCAGCAGCATCCCGTAGACTTATGGAAAAGATGACCTTTAATTTGTCTAGATTCAAAGCGTTGCGTGCCTCAGTCATCTGATGAGTGAGTGTCACAGCACAGCGCTGGATTCTGCCTTTGTTCAAGAGATTTTCATCCCTTCTGATTGTTTATTCTCTYTGAAAACAGAAAAGAATTATTAATTAAAAGCCTTGATAATAACCAAGTTTATACTCCTTYGCACTTGGCTTTTTGCAGCAAAAGAAGCAATAATAAAGTGGGGCACTTYCCAAGTTGGGGTTATTTAATTAGTTATTACAAACCATATTGTTTTGAAGCTAATGCAGATTAATCAGGTATGCAAATGTATGACCTATATTGCAAAAGTAATTATGTGGAGAGGAAAGGTTTAGGGAACGATGCAACACTGCCACCTACTGAGAGGAAGCCGTTTGGGTTCGGATGCAGATGTCATCGTCCACCTTCATGCATGTAATTAATTACTTCTCTCACACGCAATTTGTATTTCAATTATTTATTTTTCAAATCCAGAGATTACATAACTCTAAAACTGAAATGTGCATTACACTTGGTAAGTGTTGGGAAGACAAAGAAAATGGTATACACAAATGTTTTACCCTGAAAGGCACCAAAGACACGTTTTTACCAGAATGGGTACAATTCTCTTACCTGTGCTGCAACAATGCTTTAAAAAAAATAACATTTCAACGATCGACTTGCGAACTTGGTATGCAAATAAACATAATTATCAACATTATTACGCTTTTTTTTCTTACAAACTTTCTTTATTTGAATGGTTAAAAAGCTAATAAGACAATAGTGGTGTTGTGGTAGCTAAAATATATATTATATAAATACAACATATTTTAAGTGTACAATGTTTACTCCCTTTGTGGCTAAAGACAGTCCACGGTTTGTGCAAGGAGAAAAAGAACATCCTGCGAACGAAGAACAGCACTTTCTCAATATAAACACAGCTTTCATACAATTGTAATAAATTACTTTCAGTACAAATTCTAGAAAAAACAGCAGATGTTATTTTTGAAAAGATGTACAATAAACCAACAGCTGCTGAGTTGYTTTTTTGTTTGTTTGTTTTGTTTTTTGCTAAAGGTTGCAAATGAAACGATATGGTTGTGATTGTCTGATCGTGGAAGAAGATTGTACACGGCCACGTTATTTTTGTTTTTCTGCATGTGTGTGTCTTTCACCGTCCACGCTGCTGAGCCCCACAAATTGCTCCAAATCAAGAGTGAAACGTTCTTCTTACAAAATCTCGAGCGCCGGGGGACACTCGAGTGGTGTCACAAATAGAAAAAGTGGCGCACTCGAGACAAAACGAAAAATGAAAAGAGGTCATAAAATTCCATGCTCCGCTGCGGCGGGGAGCGGGGGGCCGGCGCGGGTCGGAGCGGGTCGATTTCTTTACCTGAAAGCACGAACGAGCGAGGTGACGTCCTCCTAAGCATCCCAGGTGTCACTCAGCAGCAGCGCTCCTTCTCTTCCACCACTTCCTCTCACATTCAGGAATGAGAAAAGTCTCTGCACCAAAAACTGTGCAAATAATGAGATTATGTGACTTTATATTTATGTCAAAATGTAAAATAACTGCAGTTAATGTAGTGGAATTACATCAAGGCGCCACACAGGGGGCCATCCTTTTCGTAAAGTGAAAGCAATTCTGGATACTCTGGCAGTCTTTCCTATTCGTCACATGGCTTCTTCATGATTGGTCCGAAAGGAAGAACTGCAAACGGCTTCATGAAGAGTGAATCGGACCGTTTCCTGTTCCTCATTTGTTTAAAGTGATGGAGACATAAGATGTCGGTATGTAGCCTTCATCTCCGTTGTTCCTTCGCACTCGGGTCCAGCCATCCCCTTTATCCTCTTCTACCACAGCCAGCACCTCCCCTTCCTTCATAGCGATGGTTCCTTCACTTGCACCTGACAGGGGGAAAAGGGGCAACGAAGGAGACATCCATGAGATGTTCAGTGTTTCATCAACCGTCGTACAACCAGAGTCAGATTAGAAGTTACTATAATTCAGAAACTAATTAGCATTAGCGTACCAGGGAAGCTGTACATAGCTGTGCATCTTCCAATAGGAGCTGCTGGTTCCTCGTCTTCAAARTCATCATCAAACTCGGCATAAATGGGTTGGGAAGGATCAGGGGGGCTTTCATCAGAATGAGCTCCATCAGCACTGGAAAAAAAAGTGTTCCGTTTACAACTAAAGTGTTTCAAGCTATTTTGTTTTCTGCCGGAGGACATGGATCTTACCTGAGCGCATCATGAGCGCCGTTATCGTTAAATGTGTAGGTCTTATACCGCGTCGAGTCGCCTCGAGCTCCAGCTTCAGTCAACCAGTTCTTTTTAAGAGCGGATTAACAAATGAGAAAGAAAATATGCACCACATGGTAAACAATAAATGTTATGCAATATCACGAGGTATCATGCTCAGATTGTGTGTTGTGATATCACATCAAATTTTTCACAATATCTGCACAACTGACTGAGTTTCAGCCCTTTTTCGTTGATTAATGACAATTAGCTGTCGTAGCCATCTTGAATAGGATCGAGTCCAAAAGATAATCAGTTACAGATACACACCCAACAATCATTTTCTAAAAGTTTTATTAAAACCCATCTAGTGGTTCACGAAATATTATGCTAACAGACACGCAGGGTTGACTCCAATAGTAACTGCTAACATTTTAAGCAAAGATCTTACACGCAGCGCAGCACTTAAGTATATGTGATGTGAATGACTCTCAGCTACAAGGATACCAAATTTTAGTACAATATTTGTAAAACTGACTGAATTATAGCCATTGTTAGGATTTTTATGGTCAGTTGGCTACAGAGGTCAGCTTAAGTTGGGTTGACTCCAAACATTRAACAGTTGCATTTGTACGTCCAATGATTATTTCCTGAATTGTTCATTAAAATATATCTAGTGGTTCGTGAGATATTTTGCTAACAGAAAGGGTTGACTCCAAGTAGTTATTTGCAAATTTTTAAACAAAGATTCTGTGCAATCTATTGATCAAAATATATGTTAGGGATCAGTCTGACCTACTGACAACAGATTTTAGAAAAATATTTGCAAAAATGACTGAGTCACAGATATTTGTGTGTTTTAAGGTCAGTGGCTGCTAAAAAAATTTGTCCAGTAATCCATGAGATATTCTGGTAATAGACAAATGAACACTCACACAAAGACGTGAGCAAAAAAAAAAAAAATAAATTGTTTCCTTTTCAGTGACAGGAAATAAAGTGTTATTCTGTCGTCATTATAAAAAGAGGCTCATATAATATGAATAAACAGCAGAGGGGGGATTACCTCATACTTGCTCATCTCTCCTTTGAGACGATCGATGTTCTGAGACGTCTGACTGATTTGGGATGCGAGAGTAGCCGGATCTCCCATTTGAGGGTTTTTCTCATAAACATCTTTCATCTTTCCGAGTGCTTCACTAAGCAGAGGGGAAAAAAAAAAGAGACAGACAAGAGTTGAGCGAAGGAAAAGTGACTTTTGGAGACCATCTGCTCCCAGCAGAGCTCAGGGGTGGGTAAACAAGACACACACAGAGAACATGGAGTTATTTACACTGCGTGAATATTGTATCCACATTTCCTGCGGAGAAGCTGTAACGTTGATTGTTGCTAATGTGCAGGATAACAACACACCTCTGATCTACTTCCTTCTGCAGCTCTTTGGAAATTTCCTCTAATTTCTGCTGTAACCTCTTCCTGCGCTGTTCTGGTGGGAGATGGCCAAAGTCCTCTGTCACCGTGGGCTGGAAGAAGTCACAGGAAGGGGGGAGGGTTAGCACAGAAAACTTGACGCATTCGTAAGCGAGACAAACCGATGAGAAACACCCAGAGTGTGGTTTGAGATCAGCTCAGAAGTTGAACAGTTTGAGATCACTTTTAGACCTTTTATAAAAAAGGGTTTGGAATAATAAAAAGCCCACAATGAGCAGAGTTTCAATGAGCTGAACGCAAAACCATCTCCCGTGTACCGACATATATCGTCATGAGATTGTAGAGTTTCTGTTATTTAAAGAAAAAAATAGGAAAAACAGTTTCCTSTTGTGTCAACAAGCGTGCACCCTTCCTCCACCACCAGATGGCCACCTCTTCAACACAAACTTAAAGAGACAACCTTGGAAATGTTTAAGAAACACTAAAATAAAAAAAAATAGTGCACGTGATTGTGTGTCAAACAAGTGAGACCCCCACACACCAGCTTTGTGTTCATATTACAGTACCATGGTCTTGTCTGGGGTAAATTTCTGAGGGGACAAAAACATAAAAAACAACACTTGTAACCCAAGCCAGCATTAAAATTCAGCCTGGACGTCGAACACAAGTTCAAAYACAGAAACTGCATTAATCGTTTGAGGAAGTCAGKGACTTGCATTCAGACGCAGGCCGCTAAGAGTCGAGGGTGTCCTGGCACCCSGAYCAGCTCCTCTCATCACTCACCGATCTCCTGAGYGTCTTGAAGGAAGAGATTCTGGGTTTGACTGTCTTATTGATCTCCTTCAAACAGTACGACAGGGGGTCCCGGCCAAACTTGGGGGAGTGGGATCCGTTAGGGGGTGAAGCGTCGGGAGTGAGTGTGGAGGAGAGCTGGGGTTGGGCAAAAGTTACAGGCACCCGACAGCCAGGTATGCAGGCACGGGACCGTGTATGAATGGGGGGGAAAGAGAGGAGGGAGGCGGGGATAACGGAGAACAGGGGGGGTGAGGGGTGGAGACAAAAACAAAAACCAAACATGGTGACAAAGGAAAGAAAAAGACACCATCAACACCTTAAAGCGCACCACAGTGCCTGGAGGACAACACAAACTCAACACACAAGCTCAAAGAACATAAAAACAAACTTTTCATTAAAAACAAAAAAAGCCCATTCCATGCAAACTCATTAAAAGGTCGCTGGAAAGAAAAGTCACCGTATTGTTTCATGTATAATACGATCTCGAGTTTAATGCGATCATTTGTTGAGCTGAAAAAGCATAAAAAAGATTGAATCTTTAATAACCTGTGTATAATACGCCCCGACTTTGTGGGTGATTTTTAGGGTTACATTTCTAGTATTATACATGAATAAATACAATATATCAAGTTTTAATTTTTGTTTTCAAGTTTGGAAGTTTTCAAGTTTTGCAAATTTCCCCACTGTGGGATCAATAAAGTTTTATCTTATCTTATCTTAAAGTAGGGTTTGTTTGTAAAGAATAGTCTCGTTCTTTTCTGATGCAGGATTCATGACATTCAACAGTGTTTGATTTTTTTTTTTGCCAAATTTTGTTTTCTGCTGCATCAAATCCAAAAAACACAAAGTCCAAACTCCAAGGATAAACAGTTAAAAACTCAGGATGAACTTTAAAAGTTGTGTGAGTTTCCATGGAATGAGCAGAGACTAAAAAGAAATAAAAATAAAAAAAAAAAAACTACACAGTAAGCAACAGCAGCCAAAGTGCAGCAAAACTTCAATATAAAGCTAAAAAGCAAACAGAACCCTAATGAGAATCCTAATGAAGGCAACAAAAAAACTACGCATCTGAATTGCTCTATTAGGACAGTTAAAAGTGCTAAATAAGCTATCATACGGAGCCCCTTTGCAACAATTAAAAGTTGTTTTGTTTGCTCTTTCCCAATAATGGCATAGTTTACACTAACAACATTTTTATGAACATGTTTATTGCCGTTTAAAAAGGCTTGCAAAACTCTCAACGTTAAGTTTGCCATATTCCACGGTGGAAAAATAAAAGGGGGATTGCTATAACTAGCTGAACGTTTAAAATAATGACTATGTTGTGAAAAAAAAATACACAATCCTAACATGTAAAGTTTCAGTGTGTGAAAATCTGTTTAAAATCGAGGCAGCAGAACCCTGAGACTGACCTATATAAACAGCCCGCCAGCTATTAAACCAGTACAGTTGTTATAAATAGCTTGCTGAATTACCACAGTGGGATTGTGAGGATGGATTTTTGGGGCCGGGCAAATGGCACGTATTAGAGAGAGGGGTTAACTTGACAACATATCTGGGGAGAACTACATAAATCTATGTTTACGCTGAAAAGGTGCTGGGGTGGGATCCATTAGCTAAATTACACAGAGGGCTGATGGCTTGGAGTCTTTAATGGGAAAAAGTCTAAAACGGCCTCACAGCAAGCTCCCACGTGTAAATACTGAGCTCTTGCAGCACAGAGCTGTTATTACGTGAACATGTACTAGTTTGGTGCTACTTTTCTCGAGAGTTATGGAGCTCTAAGTAGAGGAGAGAAGTTAATGGGAATGTTCGGTGGCCAGACTTAAACCGAGAGCTTACTCWGGCCGGGATACAGCCAGTCTCACACTCACTTCTAAGGCCTAATTGGGAGAGCATGACTGATGACACAGAGCTCTGTGCCACACACACACACACACACACAGAACAGGGAGTGCACAGCAGAGCAAAGACATGCAGAGAAAGCAGGCGTGCTGAACAAGCAAACACTGCAGGGGAAGACGGAAAGGATCATTAAGTTCTGGGGCTGGAGGAGTGGACCATGAGCTGGTTAGCAGTCAGCCACCCATAAAACTGGTTCGCTTCAGGACTGTTGTGTGCTTAATATTTATACCAGCACAATAGGTTTTTGCACCAAAAAAAGTGGGGGTGGGGGGAGCACAATAAAAACAAAGTCAAAAATATCACTGTTGATCAGGTTTTCTGGCCTTGCAAACCATTCACATTTAGGCAAAAATAAAAAAAAGATATATATGTGACATCTAAAGTCTGGTTCTAGGCAGGATAAAGGAGGAAGCGGGTGTGAGGGTGGGATGACTGTGGAGAAATTTTAAATATTTGCTTCTCGTGCAGAACGCTGAAAATCATTTGACCAACTGGAAACCACGATGCAGAAATGAGGAGGATTTATGGAACGGGGGGGTTAAGGTTTAATCACTCACAGCCATGGGCAGTCATGCAAAATAAACTTTTCTGAAAAAGCCAAACAAATGTATACGAGTTCTTTTTAGATGATAACGGATCATGCACTATTATTATCATTATTATTATTATTATCATTATTATATTATTACTCCAGCTTCACCGTGCATGCACTGTTTCCAGCTCTGCCAGGCAAGAGGTCATGTGTAAGCTTTATTTTTTTTTTTTAGTTGAACATTCACAAACTCATAAAGCTTCAAGTTGTAAATTAAACACTTAAATCAGTGAATAAAACAGAACTAAGAAGTACAAGTTTGTGTGTTTGTAGTCAATTTACATTTACTGAAAAAAAAACCCTGTTACACAAAAACAATAAAAGTTGTGGAGTGTTGTTACCTGTCAACATCTGTTTACATATACAAAACAGAAGACAGTGGAAAAATCCTGCTATAAAAATGTAACAGTGTTTGTGACTTTGAGTGTAAGCGCCTGATCCTCTTAATTGTTTTCTAATTTGGTTCCCATAAAGAGGAGTTAGTCACTTTAAGACACTTCTCAAAGTAAATCTGCTTTGTTTCTCTGCTGCAATTCCAGTTGCTTTCATATTGCTCTTTTTCAAAGCAACTTAACCAATTAAGCCTTAAAATATTGGCACATTGCCTACATTCATTTTAAACATCATAAGTGTCACTTCTCATAAAGAGGGAAGGTTGAAATGCATGACAAAACAGGCAGGAAGACAAGCAAAAACAGGAAAGAGAAAAACTCAAGGTCATTGAAAAAGGAAGAGAATCTAAAAATTCAGACCTAAATTCACAACATTTACTGCATAATAATACTATGTGAAAAAAACGGAGCTGAGCGCAAAACATGATCCAAAGCAGGAAACTATTACGGCACGTCAACCAAGAATCTGACACAGAACAAAAGAAAACAAAGAGCAGGGATGTAAACTCAAACAAGGCGTGCTGCAGGCAGGTAAACGAGCCGCAGAAGACGGTGATGTGGAGTCGAGATGAGAGAAACCGAGGAGCATGTCCAGGAAATGACAAATAGCAAGAGTAAAAGCAGAAATTCTGAAAAGCGAAATAAAAACTACACCTTTAACTCAGAGGTTCTCAAACTGGGGTCCCTGGACCCCCAGGGGTCCGCGAGAGGTATCTTGGGGGTCCTCAACAATTATTCACTAAAATGTTAATTTGGTTTTTATTTTTTTAAATGCATGGAGAACAATGAACTAATAAAACAAACATAATAAACTTAAAGTGTAACTTACCCCCCCTGTGAAAAGATAACTCCGCCCCAAGGCGAAATTTGAAAAATGCATCAAAGTGGGTAGGGGAGGGGGTGTGGGTGG